ATCCCCTCGTTCGGTATTCTCTATCTACCGAACGAGGGGCCGTTCGGTAGTTTGGAACCGAACGGACCAGGGCTGTGGAGGTCTCAGCGGTGTTCGCCTACTCGAGTGTCCGATTTTAGTTCCAGACACTCGACGGCTAAACACCGCTGTTCGGGAGTTTTAAAATGGCCGCCGCCACGTGTTCGTTTGTCGAATGGCGGCCACCCCCGAGAACAAAGGACGGCTACTTACTGTTCAATTACCCGTTCGCAACAATGTTGCAACGGGTAATTGAGGACACACTTCTCACAGGGGAGGTCTGGTTGTTCGGTAGTTTCATTCGAATAAACTAAGGGAACGAAACTACCGAACAATCACAAGAATACAAGGCTTTAAAACACATAGGAAACTACAGATCACACGAATGCAATTATTTCACAGACATTTGCAGGACAGCCCAGTGCCATCCGCTACAAAGACAAATCGCCATCTTAAGTAAAATACCAGAAAACACACATTCGTATCACATATCCCCAGATAGCCTGGATCTGAGGGCATATTATTAGCGAATAGCGCTCAGATCCCATACGCATAGTTCAATCGCCATGGAGTCAAAGTTCTTACAGTCTTTCGGTATGCGATTGACTCCATGGGAAGGCTATCTGGCTTAAGTCTCTTCATGTAATTCAAAACTCCTGAACGGCCGGTGTTCGCATGCTTTCGTCGACGGAGAAGGGTGACCCGTTGTTTCAGCGGTGTTCGGCAGAAAAAGTGTCAGTTTTTAGTTCCATGAAATCAATGCCCAACACCGCTGGTCTTTCGTGCGATCTAAAATGGCCGCTGCCTCGTGGTCGACATGCGAACAACGACTACCCTGTATTCGGTTTTAATTGAGAAGTGTCTGCGGTTAACCACAACGTTCTAATTGGGATCAAGAGGTTAACCAGCAGCACACTTCTATTCTGGGTGGCCGTCCGTTCGGTAGATTTGTTGGGTGAAAAAGTCCATTATACGCATGGGCTATAGAAATAAGCAATTTCCACGAAAGGAAGGCAAACAAGATGAATCCACAAATAATAATCATACAGATGGGTCTGTCACAATACTTAACTTCCAATGATCAAAGGAATTCAGAATTTTTTTTACAAAAATACAATCTAGTACAGATTATCCTTATTATAGATATAAAATAACCAATATACACATGTGAGTTGCACTCACATTTACCAGAGCGCTATCAACCCTGGCTCTGGGTGAAAAGGGCTCCACTTGATAGGGAATAACTCCAATGTTCAGACCAGAAGACCTTTATTCCCAAAGATAGCACTCTTTATATGTAGTGACTGCAGGGATGACAGTACCAGAATACCTTAATGGCATAGTATAACACAAATGTTATCATATAAAAAAAAAAAAAAAAATTCAACCTGCTTACTCCAAGCAATGATGGGTACACCATATAGTAATCCCACAAACGAGCAAAAATGCGGCTTAGAAAAATCAGATGCTGGGTCCAGGCTCCACCTCCCAGTGACGTATCTTGTGATGCTTTTCGCCCACCTCTATTCCTCTGGGCTTCCTCAGACCAGGTCTCGTTTGTGGGATTACTATATGGTATACGTACCATTGCTTGGAGTAAGTAGTTTTAATTGGGTTTTGTTTTTTTATAATAAAATGTGTTATACTATGCCATTGGGGTCTTCTGGTTCTGTCATGTCTGCAGCCACTATATGGGTATGCCAAGGCCCCCATGTGTGTGTGAATTCGAGATTTGAAAGGGGAAAGTTTCTCGTATTTCAGATGGCCTCAAGTGTGAAGTTTGAATAGGGAGTAGTACGGACTTAGAAAGGTTAAGTTTATAGCCAGAGATCGATGAGTAGGTGTTTAGCAGGTCTAGGAGTGTGTGCATGGCTGGCACTGGGTTGGAAAGGGTAAGGAGCACGTCGTCCGCATATGCAATGACCTGAAATTCAGAGCCCCGGATGTCTTTGCTTGAGTGTAATTGCTTGTAGGAGGGGTTCTAGGAAAAGGACAAACAGGAGGGGTGAGAGTGGGCACCCCTGTTTTGTGCCATTGGTTATGGTGAAGGCTGAAGGAATGTTAGGCAAAAGGAGATAGCCTTTTGGGTACGTATAGGACTGTCAAGAGGGTGAGGAAAGTTGGGGTAATCCAAAGTGTCCTAGGACTGTGAACAGGTAGGGCCAGAGCAAACGCTCAAACACCTTTTCGGCGTCTATGGATAAAGCCAACTTGATCGGGGTAGATCGTTTGGTTTTGAGAGTAGGGTTATGTTGGCTGCCAGCATATCAGGAGTACCCTGCAGTATGGAGTTAAATACAGCGCACAGATGTGGTATCAAAAGGGGGCGGCTGAATGTCTTGTAATAAAAAGCAGTGTAGCCGTCACAGCATAGGTTTTTATTGGGCTTTAGTGATCCTAATGCAGAAGGTATTTCTTCTGGTGTAATGACCGCTCCTAAGGAGTCTTGCACTGCTGATGTAAGGTCTGTTAAAAATTGGGTCGTGGAAGGATGCAGGTATATTATTTCAGCTGGGTGTGAGTTCTGGAATGGTTATATAGTGAAGTGCCTGAAGCGGTGTGAATTCTAGAGATCTCTTAGCTTCAGTTTTACGTTGAAGGCCTTTTGCTAGGAGTGAGTCGGCTTGTTTCCCTTTTCAAAAAAGGTGCGTTTCGACCACATTAGCACTTTCGCCGTGTCTCTAAAGGATAATGATTTGAGTGTGTGACCCAAAAGTTCTGTTAATTGGGTCAGAAGTTGGGTTGTGGGAGTCATTTTGTGTGGAGTTTCTAATCTTTTGAGTTCGGCTAATGAGTCTGTCAGTGGTCGCATACGTTCTTTTTTTGTGGTTAGAGGCTAAGCCAATTAGTTTTTCTCATACTATGGTTTTATATGTTGCCCACATTGTCGGCATTGGTATAGATGGTTTGATATTTAGGTCAAAGTAGTCTGACGTCTTTATTAATCTCTTCGATTGTGGATTTGTTATGCAACAGCATGGGGTTTAGGGGCCATGTCCATGTCTGTGTAATCTTCAGTCTGACCAGGAAATGGTCCCAATGTCAGTGTTTTTCTTTTACCCACGTGAACATGTTTTGGGAAACTAAGAAATTGTCTTTTCTGGAGTATAATTGATTTGGTTGGGAGAAGAAGGAAAGATCTGAAGTGGATGGGTGCTGTGTCCGCCATACGTCCAGGAGTTTGGTAGAGTCCAGAAAAATGGGAGAATAGGTGGTCATTGCAGGAAGGTAAGATTAGTGGGTCAGTAATGCCAGTTCGGTCCACAGCTGTCGTACACATTGCAGTCGCCTCTCAGTATACGTTTAGCGGGTGATAGAGCAGACACACAAGCCGTGAAGGTCGTCCAAAAGGTGGGGTCAGGCAAGGCAGGGGTGAAAAGTGAACAAAAGGTCAGGACCTCAGACCTATTTTACCTGTGATAATCACAAATCTGCTCTGCGGGTCTTCAAAAGAAGTGATTAACATTAGGGGGCAAGAGGAGTGCAGTACTATGGCTACCCCTTTGTTCTCATATCCAAGGAGTTTGCCAAAAAAAAAAAAAAAGTGTGATTATTGTGGCGGCTCTTCATAGGAAAGTGTTTGTGTGTGGTGAAGTATGTTTCTTGGATCATCAGGATATCGGCCTGTTGTCTATGGGTCCATCTGAGCACATTATGTATTTTTATAGGTGTGTTGAGGCCCTTAGTGTTGATTGAAACACATTTAAGTTTACGTGGTAGGTCGCCTTGGGACCATCTATCCTTAAGTCTTTAGATTCCCAGCTAAGCGAGGGGGAATAGACAGTCCGCCAGCCACAGGCCCCGAGAGGCAGGCAGCCAAATCGTCCACTGCCATCCCTTGTCAAAGGCAGCCCGAGTTGCGCTCCTGTGACATCCACAGTGGGGAGGGGGGGAACATTCTACACTCTGTGCGGGTCAGCCCTCTCCTAGAGGTGTTTTAAACAGCTTGAGCCACCCAAGACCCATGGAGGGAAGCCAGGCAGACCCCAGCCCACAACCGGGCTCACCCAAGACCCCGACCAAACAGTGTACACCGGAAAGTCCTATGCTCTGTCGGTATAGTTACTACATGTTTGCATTGGATCTGCATAGAGGTCCTGTCTCCATTTACCTAGTCAGGGAGGGGAGAGTGCTAGTCTGTATGAGCTTATAAGAGAAAGTCAGGGGCCTAACTTTCCCATTTTCACAGATGCCAAGTTACAAATTTGGTGGGACAGTACACATTTTAAGGAACCGTCCCTTTAAATTTATGTTCTGGGGACCTGTCCCACAGTTTTAAATCTGCTGGGAGATTTTTTAAAATGCAGGAGGGGACTGGGCACTAGCACCAAGCACGGAGTGTATTAGTCTAGTGACGGGGCAGGCGGTCAATCAACCTGGCCACCCTCTTTGCTGGGCAGACACGTCGACACGATCCCCTTGTCCTCCAAGCTCCCTGGACCGCTGCTCATCTTCGACCTGGGAGGTGGGCAGGAAATGTTGGTATGTATTTTGTGCTAACAAAAGGTAAGGTATTAATATTATATGCTATAGGGACATGATGAGTTTGATGGTGGATTTTAAGTGTAATGCTTTGAAATAAGTGTTACTGGGGACCATAATAAGGGTTATTTACTAAAGTGAGAATTCAAAGTGAATTTAAAATTTTAAGCCAAAGTAACTGAACTGGAAGTATAACTGATAATTTGTCCAGTTTGACTATTTTGACCTTAAGTTTGAAATTCACTTTAAATTCTCACAATAGTGAAGAACCCTACATTGTCTCTTACACAAAGTGGTTTATAGGATGTTGAGACTATTTACCTCTGCCCCCTGGCATTTATTCCTTCAGTTCAGGATTTACATGTGACCATATACCGCCATGGCATAAATGATTGTGAAAGATGGTTATCCTGTGTCAGGTTTCTATTATACCATCATGAATACAAGAACACACTCAACCAAAAAAAAAAAAAAAAAAAATACACAATGACATATACAAATAAATAAGAAAATATTTTATTAGTTCAACAAATGTAATGACATTTACCAAACGATTTGGATTGGGGAAAAAAAAAAAAAAAAAAAAAAGAGCTAAATAATACATATACTGCACCACTTGCTTTAAATATCCTAAACTGCACATCTGTGACAAGCTACAACAGTGTTAAATGGCATAACAAATGTACCCCACATAATAAATCTTCCACACCGCCAGAAATGCACATCTTGTGACCCTGCTGATGACATACTCTCACTAACAGCACATTTTCTAGGTATGTACTATTTATTGAATCACAGTACACTGCGTCTGAATTGTGCACCATAAATTAGAGTCATTACGTTTAATGTATAATTTACCAGGAAATAATTAAAATACACAATGAATGCAGAATTTAATGACCAATACTTGATACGGCACCGGAAGACACCAAAGGCTCTAGTTTAGCCATTAAATAATTGAAAGCCCACACGGTGATAGAAAAGGTTTTTAACTTGATGAAAATTGTTTTCTCTGCCTATGATGAAGGTATTGTAGTCACAATATGTGTTAGACTGTTCCCCCTGCCCCTTCTCCTTGGAGCCCATGTTGCTCACAGCTATGTTGTCAGTTATAAATCAATGAATAAAGGAATGGATATTTTTTTTACTGATCCTTTATGGTTGAGGCTTTCTGGCATACTCCTTCGGCAGTCTGGCAATTCATTGACTTATCATAGGATTATCAGTTTTCTTAAACTCAATCTCTCTAAAACAGAACTTATCTTTCCTCCTTCAATAACCTTTGACCCATGTATTTCCCTCCAATTCAATGACACTACGATCAACTCTACCCAGTAGCCTTGCTGCCTTGACGTTCTCTTAGATTTAAACCTCTGCTTACCTCCTCACATCCAGTCAATTACTAAATCCTTTTGCTTCCATCCTGAAAACAAAGCATTCATCTGCCACTGCCAAACACTGGATACAGCTAAAGTGCTTGTGTAAGGTCATAACCACTCATCTCTTGCTGGTCTTTCCAGCTGGCCCCTTTGCAGCCCATGATAAATGCTACAGTTAGGCTCATCTTCTTGTCATCTAACACTTCCTACTTGGGTCTTCAACTCTCACCTTTAGGACTTCTCTAGGGCTGCACAGAGCGTAACAGGGCCCACGAAGGACAGGTTCAGGTAAGGAAATCTCATCTTTTCATGCCCCCTACGGCCACCGGACCACCAGCAATGTCACAGTCTGAGGTCTTTGCAAATTATGCCAAGACCTGGACAATAACAGAGCTGCTTTAAAGTGTAAGCTCACCTACCATGTCAAGGCAAACCTCTTAGGTGAGTGCTCCACTAACAATGCATCTTGTTGCTTTCAGCTAAAAGACAAAGTCTCTAATGAGACAGAAAGGTGTATTTTTATGAAGTCCTACACACTTATTAACCCTTAATAGGACACACTTGGGGTGGGTTACAGCACAGTACGATGGCTGTTCAATACAGGTTTGCTTGATTACGACTGGGGACTATGAATATAGATGCCCCGCTCCCAAATAGGGGTACGGGTGAGTGCACATAACCGTTACATCTCATTATGATGGTGATGTTGGTGGGATGGAACCAATCATAATATAGAAGTTAGATTTATACCTACCCAAGCATAATATCGGCAACACATTAGCCACACATAAAAGAGCACATATGTTTGACAGATTAAAAGCAGTTGTTACAAAAATAGGAGTGCTGTATTTCAGTATCCGTAAGTGATTTCTTTGTACCACAGGGCAAAATTGATCGGACATGGCAAAACAGAATGTTGCTAAATTCTGTATCATTACAAAAAAATGGGCATTCTTAAAGTTATATTTAGCTATAAAAAATACTATATTATGCAGGGTATATGGAATAACACTTTAAAATCATAACATTTCCATTCTTAGTAGGTTTCAATGTCTTTAAATAATTCATACAAAGTGTTCACTGCAAAACATACTTAAAGGGATTCTATAGTGTTAGGAGTACAAATCTGTACACTAAAGAGTCCTCTGGCTGCACCTGCCCTGCACCCTACCCCAGTAGCTAAAAGGCTTAAAATAAAAAATAACCTTAGTTACTTAACCGATTCAAGCGCCAATGTCTCTCAGCCCTGGGTTGGCACTGCCCGACAGGCGTAATAGTCCCTCCTCTTCCCAAAAGGTGCCCTCTAGTGACTTAGTCCTACAATGTAATTATTACAGTTTCTTAAAAACTGCATTGAGTCACACTGCAGGGCTAAGTGGGACAGGGACATGGCACCCAGACCGCTTCAATGATCTGAAGTGGTCTGAGTGACTAAAGTATCCACTTTAATTTTTCCTTTAAATAAATGTGTGTTATATGTTATGTAGATGCATTCATTAACAATGTTGGTGTATTCCACGCAAAAATACTGACAAGCAATATCGACCACACAAACGGCTGTTTACAAAAGTAAGAATTCATAGTGAATTTAAATTTTAAGGTCAAAATAGCTGAACAGTAGAAATTCTCTAAATCAGCTATGCCTTATCTTCATGTAGTGCTTCCTTAAATTTGAAATTCACATTAGCAAATAAACAGACAATTTCTAATTATTTTCATAGCTATATCTACAGGTATACAAGGGGCACAGATCCAAGCAAACTATTACAACAAAAAGCAGATGTGGTTTAGGTCACTCAAGGATCAAGATATACATTAAGAAGTCCATTTAGTTTATTATGCAAATTTTCTACAAAAGGATAAAATATTTGATGTACCACGATTTAGAGAACATATGTTCCAAGCAGACATATCTTTAATTTGTATCTTGTCATGTTGATCTATTTCAGCAACACACCAAACCAATAAATAGAAATTTACGTATAAATATTACTATAAATATCAAAACATCACCTTTTAGCTTTCCCTTGAGAAACAGCCTCTGCATAAGACGTGTGAATGAAATCGTAAAGTTGTTTTGTGTTATTAGAATTTCCGAGAATTTCAGACAGTTTCTCCTGAGATAAAGTTGTCAGTTCTGCAATGTTCTTTACATGATTCATGATGGCTCTGCAATTTTTGGCATTGACTCCTGGCATTTTTAAAAGGAAGTCCTGAGGGCCTGGATTATACTTCTCAGATTCTGGGATAGTTTCCGAGTCAGCGGTTATTGCCATTGCTGTTGCAGCATCTGGCTGGGGACGGTTCTGCTTTAGTTCCTCAAATAGCTCTGCGGTGGCATGTGGAGACGCACACCAAAGGATGCGCAATCTTGGAAAGTGAAGAGTGAGGAGAGTTATCTTGGATGTGATGTCATTCACTGAAATCTCTTGGTGAATAGAATTTCTTGATGTGAGAGAAAACGGTTTGTTGGGATCAAACTCAATCAGAAGAATGGGCCTCTTGTAATAGCGAGACATCGCTACACATTGGGTGTAGAGACGTCCATTGTTCAGTGAACCAATTAAGTCACTCACACTCTTTCTCTCAACGCACATATCTGGAGTCAGGATGTAATCTCCCACTTCTAGTGTAACAGGTTCTATGTCAATGCCACGCCGGTGAACAAGAGATGGAAGTTCACTACGGAACTCGCGCATGTCAACGATAATCGTGTGTTGGACACTGTTCTGCTTCTGGCCACCTAGAAACGAAAGGAAGAATATTGAATGGGTAGATTACACTTGTTACAGGTTTAATTAAAAAGTGATCACACAATACAGAGTGTATAATTTGCAACAAGTTACATATGATCATGAGTAATAAAGTAAGTCTCTTTTTTCATATAAAAAACAATATCCTTTTTGATTTCCAATTTTCAAGAAATGCTGCAGTTGTATGTCCATCAACACAACACTACCAGGTTAGCTTCAACCTGACCACAGTTATTGTAACACCTATGGGCTACATGAGAGAACCTGTACAAGTACACAAATACACAACTTTATTTTTCTTTCTTGATTAAAGGCAACTAAAGCTACTTAAAGAGCTTTAAAGACGTTACACAAAAAGTTAATAGAGGTTACATAAACTATCTTAATGACTTTCAAAGTAGTTTCTTTAATTACAAATATATAAAGATCATACTCAGACATCTGAACTACATATTCCATGAATCCCTTATAAGCAGAACAGTATGGGATATGCATAGCACTTCCAGTGAGATGGAAGGACCAGGACTCAATAAAACCTAAAATCAGAGGATATAATATCTCTGCAGAAGAGTGGGATAAATATTTGATGATTGAGATTTATATATATATATATATATATATACACACATATTCTTCTAGTGTTAATACTTGTAGCAGTTTCAGCTGCTGCTTAATTAACACTGTCCAGCTCTATTTAGCCTGCTGAGATTTTCACATTAGGCTGCTGATCACAGACACCTACAGTGTGTGAAACTGAGCCTAAGTGGTAAGAAAAACGTTGTGCCGTTTAATTATTGTTTTATGACTGGGAATCAGCTTAGCTGGCCAATACAGTTCGAAAGGAAATATCTCTGTTTAGTTAGTCTCCTAAAAGGAGTCAGTTTTTGTTTGCTTTCATTTATTTTTTAAGGGGCAATAGTATTGTGGATGTTAAAAACAGTTGGGTTTTGTAAATCAACATCCTGAAAAAGCACTGGAGTAACTGTTCTTGCAATGATCTTATTACAATATCTAGATAGATGTACGTACGTACATACGCACAAATATTTTTACTTTAAGCACGATCTAAATAATTCTTTAAAAATAGGTTTCAATTCTAGCCTATTGTGTCCTGAGAGCAATTGAAAATAAAAAGAAGACTAAACATTCTTCAGTAGCATAAGGAACACTAGTGAAGATTATACCAGCTTTGCGAGTGTCGGTTGAGGCTGATGAATCAGTTACACCTCTCTGAAGATCAAGATTTGTGTCATCTCTTCCTTCCCTTTCTTCAGGAATAACCATGCTGGCTTTCTCTCTGGAAACAAACACTGGCAGTCAAACATAAATGTTTTAATGGCAATGACAATCAAAGACATCATCACAGTCTGTTCTTGAAACATCATATGCAAGTATTGAATGCCCTACGCACCATCAGCTGTATAGTTCCACGATAAAAGTTACATGAGTAGGACATTCATTGTCCTTGTAGGATCGCTCAAGAATCAGATTGTTTTGATGACATAGGCCATCATTGATCTTTAATGGATATTAACACATTTATATTTTAATACAAACACCCCACTTTCTTAAAGTGAATCGATCATGAAAGGTTTACCATTACAGATTACAACGCTTAACCCCTTAACGACACATGACATGTTTGACATGTCATGATTCCCTTTTATTCCATTTGGTCCTTAAGGGGTTAAAACAATAAATATAACACACACCTCGGACGACGCTAGACAGCCGACAGACGAACTGAACGGAACCACGCCCCTTTCTTCCCACCCCGACGCATCCCCCCCCCTCCCCTTGAACCACCCGAGCATTATCATTGATTGGATCATCCCCACCGTACCCACAGCAATAAGGGATACCATAATCAGGAACGACAACAAACACAAACTGGTACACACTTCCAGACCAGTCCGGGATGACACCCCAAAGCCAAAACACACGAACAACTGTGATAATCCTGGACAGGCCCGGCAATGACACGGCTAATGCCGTAACCACACACCCAACGAAAGGGTACCCCCTGCCCGCAATATCACCATATCCCTGGTTAAACACGGGAAATACTGATAGTAACAGCGGGGAAAGCACAAGCCCAACACGGACAATACCGCACGGCTAGAGACACAGGGCTCTATGAGATGCCTGACGACAGAGACCATAGGGGAAGCCTACGTTCCCAGGCTCCCACGCAGAATGAGCCCCTGACACACTGTGTGACCAGACAAGATAGCAGAGGAACGCCGACACATAGACGGAACTCGAACACAATAGAAGGGACACAACGCATACACTATAGTTCCTACGTGTACAAACGACACAGAGAACGGAGCTCACTCCACAAACACTGACACCTAATCAAAGAATGATTAACCCAGTTCAAGGACGGTTACCTGGCATATTGTTCACCCAGTTTATAAAAACGTAACTTAACTTATATTCCCGAACAAGCGTAACACCAGAAAATGGGGACCTACGAGTCCTTCTATGATGGGGGCCTGCGAGCCCGACTTGTTATCTTTTGTTATACCATGCAATGGAGACCTGCGCGTCTCATCCAACCTTAATACATGCAAAATGAATAAAAATCATATTCACAAAAAAACAAAACAATAAATATATAATTTATTATGAAGTTATACTATTTTTAAAATTTCCTAGAGCAGTGAAGGTGATACTCATCTCCTCTCCAGCCTGCTGGCAGACATATTTTCTGGAGGAGTAATCAACAAATACAGTGCATGTGCTGTTCAGAAAAAGGTTTCATCTGCTTTCTTCTGTCAATATATTTGTCACACTGGTGTCTTATTGGCAGGTGGGGCAGAAGCCATACATTTTTTTTCCTGGCACTATATCTTCCCATAGTGCCCCACACGTAGAAGGGGTTAAAATCACTTCTCACTTACCTGAGTCCAGTGCCGTTGTCTTCAGCACTGGTTCAGACTCCTCTCCTTCCTGCAAACATCAGTCGGTGGGGGAGACCCAACGCGCGTCGCATTAGTGCTTCCCCCATAGAAAAGAATATTTCATGCTTTCCTGTGGGGTTTTACATGGCGCTGGATGTCCTCATACGTAGCATGAGGACGTCCAGCGTCAGTTAGGCGATGCATAGAGTGAGGAGGACCAGCGTCAGTTTGGCAACCAAAAGTCACCTAAAAACCCAGAAGTACCTCTAATGACTGTCTGGTAGACAGCCACTAGAGGTGGAGTTAACACTCAAAAGGTAATTATTGCAGTTTATTAAAAAAACTTACCTTTGCAGGGTTAAGGGACCTGGAAATATGCACCCAGACCACTTCAATGAGCTACCCACCCCCTCTCTGCCTCCTTCCTTTGCCCCTCCTAGATGTGAATACCTTCATATACCATACCACTCGACTTATACTCGAGTCAGTGTCTGTATTGTGGCAATTTACATTGCCATAATACAGACCAGGACCGCCGGGCTCATTACAAGCCCGGCAGTCCTGTTGGGGACTGGCAGAGAGCTGTTACTTACCTTTCCTGCAGCTCCGGTCAGCTCCCTTCTCCTGCGCTCCGGTCAGCTCCCTTCTCCTGCGCTCCGGTCAGCTCCCTTCTCCTGCGCTCCGGTCAGCTCCCTTCTCCTGCGCTCCGGTCAGCTCCCTTCTCCTGCGCTCCGGTCAGCTCCCTTCTCCTGCGCTCCGGTCAGCTCCCTTCTCCTGCGCTCCGGTCAGCTCCCTTTTCCTGCGCTCCGGTCAGCTCCCTTCTCCTGCGCTCCGGTCAGCTCCCTTCTCCTGCGCTCCGGCCAGCTCCCTTCTCCTGCGCTCCGGCCAGCTCCCTTCTCCTGCGCTCCGGCCAGCTCCCTTCTCCTGCGCTCCTGCCAGCTCCCTTCTCCTGCGCTCCGGTCAGCTCCCTTCTCCTGCGCTCCGGTCAGCTCCCTTCTCCTCCACTGTAGGTCTGGCGGTGTGACTGCCGCGCGGAGTGTTGCCACAGTAACCCGTGGCAACGCTCTGACCCCGCGGGTTTCGCGAGACTTACAGTGGAGCTGACCAGACCGGAGGAGAAGGGAGCTGACAGGAGCTGCAGGAAAGGTAAGTAACAGCTCTCTGCCAGCCCAACTACTGGACCACCAGGGAATGAGAGCCCCCCTCCCTGGCCAGCTAACAAGCAGGGAGGGGGGATGAAAATAAAAATGAAATAAAATAATATTACAATGAAAAAAAATTAAAATATTAAAATTAAAGTAAATAAAAAAAAAAGTACTTAAATAAAAAAAATTAAATATTAAAGTTTTAAATTTTTTAAATAATAAAAATGCCCTCCCCCACCCAGTTCTCACACACTACACAAACACACACTCCTACAAACACACACTCTGCATTGTATACACACACACACTCTGCATTATATACACACACACTCATACAAACACACACACTTCATTATATACACACACTCATACATTATATAATGCAGTGTGTGTGTGTTTGTATGAGTGTGTGCGTATATAATGCAGAGTGTGTGTTTGTATGTGTATAATGCAGATTGTTTGAGTGTGTGTGTGTGTATAATGCAGTGTGTGTGTGTATATAATGCAGAGTGTGTTTTGTTATGTGTGTGTGTGTTTGTATAATGCGGATTGTTTGTATGAGTGTGTGTGTGTTTGTATGAGTGTGTGTGTATATAATGCAGTGTGTGTGTTTGTATGAGTGTGTGTGTATATAATTATAAAATCACAGAATTTCATAGCCCCAAGTCTTACCCTCGACTTATCCACGAGGCATAGCATATTTCACAATTGTTGGTCACAAAACTGCACTCGACTTATACACGAGTATATACGGTAACTATGTCTCATCCCCATCGCTGACCCTTAGGCCTCAGTTCACAAACCCAGAAACATGCAATACTGAGTATTCATTTGCTCTAAGCATTTATTGTAGTTTAAAGACACATTGCTGAGTTTTATTGTTGTGGAGCCATTTTATACACTCAGACACAAAATCAATTTGGAGCTCCTAGATAAGAGGGACAGAGGAATTTGGGCCTAAAATAAGGACAGTCCTTCCTAAATAGGGACACTTGGCAGGTATGAGACGAGACCTCCTTTGAAAAGCAATAACAACAGAATGCTATTAGATATAATAAATCTAAATGAAATAGGGAATAACGGACCTGCTGCACTTTTTAGAAATTCTTTTACTTTATGAAATACTGCTACACATTTGTAACCGGGTAATGCATTTAATAAGGCAAAACATATTCACAAAATATGAGTAGAAACATTACTAGGAGATTTGGACATACAATGTAGGAATTACAACTGACCATTTTTTGGTACCCGCATACTACTGGTTATGAGTAACTTGCATTGCACATTTTGACAAAAACATTTACCTAATAAGTTGCTCAAATGCCTCCTTTTCTTTCCTCAAGGCAGTGAGATAGCGCTGTTCTTCAGTGGAACCTCCATAGATAAGGAAATACACCCTGCAACAAAGTAAGAGGAAAGTTAAGTTAAACCCATTTTCCTGGCACTATAAGCTCCTGGAGTGACCCCTCCCTCAGGGCAGAAGGGGTTAACCACTTACCTGAATCCAGCGGCGATGTCCCTCGGCGAGGTCCGTGAGGACGTCCAGCGTCAGATAACGAACCAAAAGTCAGTTTGGATTCCAGAAGCCCTCTAGTGGCATTTACAGTGCATTGCATTTACATTGCAGCACTAAGTGCAAAAGAGCACATATTCCTGCAGTTTGGTTTCATCTAATGTATCTTTTGCTCCTGGTGCAACCAGTCTATTCCATGGCCAGTACTTTTATTACACATTTTTTATCCTGTCCATCCTAGCCTAGTCTTAGTCCAGTCAAGCCTCTAACATGCTCAAAGCTAATGTGTTTAAGATTGCACGTCGTTGCACAGAGCCGGTATCCACTTGTTTCTAATCTGTTTAGCTATACACTATCTAGGCAATTCTAATACAGCTCAACCTGGTCAGGGCCAGCTCTGCTTACATTCTTGCCTTTTACTATTCATATCAGAATGGACATGCAAAGGACCTGCTCCCACCAGTATTCAACTCTACCTGCATTCAAGGGTGGTTATTAATGAGATCTGACTAGTAAGCCTCTGTCTGCAAAATGGATCTAACCAAACTGCTAACCAAGTCCAATTTACTCTAACAGTAAGGAAAAGATTCTACTTCCACTAGTGGCATTATAACAGTTTAAAAATACCATTATTAGGAATTTTAAAAAACAAAACAGGGGGGCGGGGCCCTACTGTGATGGCAGATGGACGCCTTTTCATGGTGCTCCAAGTGAATCTTATACTTTCAGATGTTTACCTGCGACCCCGGCTCGCTTTCTGGGTCTGGCTGCACAGCTTGTGTGTTCAACGTCAACTGATCGACCGAGGGGCGTCCCTGGTGATCATTTGCAGCCACCCGGACGGAGTCCTTTGCTAAATGGAGTGAGGCCTATCAGGAGCTGCTGTAGGGAGAGGTGGCCGATCTCCCGAACTAGCTCACGCTGATCTTCAGCAAAATCTAGATGGATCCCCGCTACTCCAACTTTGGATCGTTGGAGGTACCCTACTACCCGGGTACTGCCACAGCCCTGCAACTAAGCCAGTCAAATCACCACATTCTCTGGGACTGCATACTGCCCTTAGCAGGCATAGGCTGAATACCTAGAGATGAACATTCTGCACATCTTCTCATAGTGGCATGTACCCCCCCTCCCACCTCCTTTATGAATGTTTTCTCATTTAGTTGATAACACACTATGTCCCACTGTATCTGGACATTTACCTCTGGAGCCACCTGGGGTGGCACCACACTCATGCCTTTAGCCTTGCATAATTTACTATATTCCTGTTTGCAATATACTAGTGCATCTGTTTACTCTCCTTACTTTTAGAACTATAAAATGTGATGATTACTCTTAGCAGCTAAGCCCTTACCGTATCTCTAACTCGCTTAACTGAATTGTCCTGTGCTGGTTTTACTTATCTTGTACTATTTGTCACCATCACAATAGAAATTTGATTTAAAAAACAAAACAAAACAAAACAATAGCATAATTTTATGAATGTGGATATACAGAGATGATACACACACACACATATTATATATATATATATGACGTTAGCACCAGGCTAAAGAAAAAAGAAAAAAGAAAAACAACTTTATTCTGCTGCTCCATGATAAAATATTATGAATTCAAAGTGATGCGTCACCTATGTGGCTAAAACAAACACATGTAATATATAAAGTTTTATCACTCTCTCCAACCAAGCACAATTCAAAATAACATTGCACAGTCACAAAAAGCAAAGCCAAGCTGCAGTAACATATAATAGACGAGGAAAGACTGCAAAACGACCAAGAGGAAATAGCTACGAGAAAGTATCAAGGTTAAGGAAACTGAAAAGAGAGGAGGAGAAATGGAAAGAAGAGTAGGAGAATCAAAGGGTTTTAAAATAAGCACATAACATGGGCTACCAGTTTCCTTATTTAAAGAAATCCAGAAATAGCTTGATCAATTGACCTGCATATCAATCTAAAATCAGAAATAAAATAAAGAGGACAAACTTAACACTAATGACCAAAAAGAGCCTACAGAAAAAGCAAAGGAAGCAACGGCTTCATTCCAAAGTAAACAATTGAGTCACTCCACATTCCGCTCAATGGTCAGTCAAAGAAGAACATTCCTAGGTGGTGAAAATGTGATATATACAAGAAGTTGTATATAGAAAATCATCCTGGAAAATTTTCTTAACATATAGTAAAAGGTCCAACAGGTTTAATTGTACCCCGGATTTGTGGGTTGTATTACGTGGAATTAAAAACTAGTAAGATCTATACCTCAATTGGGAAACAAATATGAAATTAGCAATTTGGAACCAATGTGGCTTAGTACAAAGGTCGGTCAAATGATAAAAGAAACCCTGCAGATGTTGGATAGAAACCTCCGGGGGTTATTCACTATATTGAGAATTCAATGTGAATTTGAAATCTAAGGTCAAAATAGTTGAAGTAGAACATTCTCAAAATCCCTATGTTTTCAGTTTGGCTACTCCGATCTTACATTTGAAATTCAATTTGAATTTTTACTTTAATACGTAACCCTGTTAGTATATCAAGTCATACAGTGAGGAGGTAAAGCTCAACTTAGGCTGCTGGTAGTACACCCCCAAAATAACAAAAGGAATGCTATCTCTATTTCTTTTGAATTTCTAAACCCTGGCAGGAATACGTATTTTATATTTACTACAGGACTTGACAAAATTAGCCAACTTAGTATTTTGTAATTGATGTATACTTGTATAGGTTACATAAAAGAAAAAAAGAGAAACTTTGACAACTAATTTTGACAAGACCTGATTTACAAGGATTATAATAATAACAAGGAGAGGGTCCCGAGATGTTGAATGTCCTTGTTTGCAATTTATTAGCAGTAAACACTGCTGAACTATTTCTGTGTGCCTATGTGCTTAGAACACATATGTTTCACTTACCTTAGCGGTTTCTGCTTACTTGCTCTGTAAATTTCAAGCTGGCGAACAAAACTGAGCTCTGCATCATAGAGGACTACATATCTTGGTTCTACTTCATGCAGGACCCTTGTGAGTGCATAAGGGTCAGTACAGCCTTGTAGCGGATGAATAACAGTGAGCGGTTCTTTCAAGATCCCATAGCAAGAGTCTGAAGGCAAATTCAATTGGAGGTCTTCAAACTTTGGTTCCTCAACACTGCTTTCCTGACTAATGCTTTCTTCGTTGTATTTGATCTCTTCCTCCTTTCCCACATCATCCTCTTCTCTTTTTCCTATCATTTGTGTTAAAGTTAGCTCGGTGTTTTTACAGTTTTTCTTCTGTTTTGTGGCACCTTCTTTTGTCTTCTTGGCTCTGGATGCTTTCCCAGTCTTGGTACCCTCTTTAACCTTGGCAGTTTTTCGGTTCTTCATCCACACTTCTGCAGCTTTCTCATCTCTTCCAAAACTTTTGTTGTAAAGTCTCATTAACAGTGCCTCTGCTCCAGTTGCAATGTATTCTCTCAGTTGTGCGCATGTTCGATCATCACTGGCACAAATTAATACACGACCTGAAAAACCACAATGATAGAAAGTTATTAAGAACTGGAATTTATGTGGAGTATGATTTGAGCTATGCAAAAAATATAATACACACCCACAGTATGTATATAAAATCAATGATTCCCTGCCTGGACTTTTAGGAAATTATGAGTCTCTCTGCTTCCCTTTTATAAAATATGTGTAATGGGATACATGACAGAGAGTCTTATAAGAATATCAACTATTACTGTCTCATAACAGCAGGTAAAGCCATTGCAGGTAGCATATTGTTGTTTTAACAAGTAGCTCAAGTTTTCAAACCATGTAAAGGGATACTGTAGTGCCAGCAATACAAAGCTGTATTCCTGGCACTACCTACCCCCTCTAGCCCAGTAATTAAAGGGTTAAAAAAAACCTTTATTTAATTACCTTATCCCAGCGCCGATGTCCCTCGGCACTGGGTCGAAGCTCCGCCCCTCCTGCATCCCGCGACAAGCAGGGTCGAATACACAAGCGCGGCAAATCCACACGTGCATTAGACCTCACCATAGGAAAGCATTGAATCATTATTCTAAGAATAATGGAAGTTACAATACAATCTTGTACTGCTGTTCTATATTATATATATATATATATATATATATATATATATATATATATATATATATATATATATATATATATATATATATATATATATATATATATGTCTAAATGAATAAAAAGTTATTTGATAAAATAAAATATATAAAAAAACAAAAAAACAAACAAACACAAAAATTGGGTTAGAAAGAACTTTTATAAGCCCTAGCCGAATAATGTTCTTGGGCATCCTCTATCCCTTCATGTTCCAGAACCATGAAATCTCAAGAAGTTGCAACTTACTGCTGTGACATTAAAGGAACACTATAGGGTCAGGAACACATACATTATCTGAAAAGACAGTGTTTACAGCAAAAAGCCTAAAGGTAATGATTCTACTCACCAGAACAAATTCAATAAGCTGTAGTTGTTCAGGTGACTATAGTGTCCCTTTAAGTATGATAGAGGAACAGATGCACTGAAGTTGCATCTCGTAGCGCCTGAAAACAACGAGAAAGTACTGACTGGCTGAGAGGGTCGGCTTCCTCCTACTTTGTGTAGAGCGCACTGCAGGAAGCTGCAAACCCTAGGGTTCAAGACATGTACTTCAAAAGGTGAAATTCTTTTGTTTATTTTATGCATATATCTTTTAAATGCAGTTTCTATAGGATGCATTACAAAGGACCATTCTGGGCATTATAACAACATCACAATAAAAACCTGATCGCGCTATCCTTCCACTTCCTATTAAAGTCTGTGGCTGCAATCAGAATGGCTCCACTGATAAGCATTTTTCACTCATTTTTGAATGGGATGCTAGTGTTGGGCTGGTTGCATTCAGCCTATCAGTGGAGCCCGGTCCATGGCTTCCTGATTGAAGTCACAGACCTGCATAGGAAGTGGAGGGGCAGAGCGATTATGCACTGTGTTCCAGACGTTGGGGATAAACTATTCGTCAACAGTTTAATCGTTTAAGTTAAGACAGCACTCGGGACCTCACTGCATCATTAAAACTTAATAGTAATGAGGTTGTTATGGTGCTCAGTGCCCTTTTAAAATGAGGGTTGCAACAAGCTTAAAATGCCCCTTTAAGAGTGAGTAACATTTCCCTCTGACTGCATGTTTATACAAGAAATGTAATCTTTAGGAATTCAATGTACTAGGACAAACACATCTCATTAAAATTGCGTTACATATTTGTTTGTTTCAACATGACATAAGTAAATAGTCCTTACAAAGTAATTATATAAAGCCCTTTCCAATCTCAATCTGGTCTTATAAGAAAGAGCCTGATTACTGACATTTATAAAAACAATAGAAGACTACTTGAAAGCGTGCCAGCAAGAGGCCGGAATTTGATCTTGTACTTTAAAACATGCTGGTAGGTTAATGCTAAAAATATATCTTCTCATTTAACAGCTTGTGGGTGCTAGATGTCACACTGCTTTACACGTTTTAGAGATGAGGTTTAATTAAAGAATCCTTTTTTATATTTTCCCTTAAAAAGGCGTGTGTGTATTGTAATTACATCAATGTGATTTGAAATTATTAACATGTTCCTCAAAGCTAGGGATTCTAACAGTGAATAAGGAGCACGTATGTGAGCGGTTAAAAGAAAAGTGAAGTTATGTGATCAGCTTACGATTGTTATGTTATTAGTAAAATGTTTCAATGAAATAATGGGTTTCAATTAATATTTTAAACGCTGAAGTGTGATGAAGAAACATAGAATGTGACGGCAGATAAGAATAATTTGGCCCATCTAGTCTGCCCAATATTTTTAAATACTTTCATTAGTCCCTGGCCTTTTCTTATAGTTAGGATAGCCTTATGCCTATCCCACGCATGCTTAAACTCCTTTACTGTGTTAACCTCTACCACTTCAACGAGAAGCCTATTCCATGCATCCACTACCCGCTCAGTAAAGTAATACTTCCTGATATTTTTAAACCTTTGCCCCTCTAATTTAAGACTATGTCCTCTTGTTGTGGTAGGTTTTCTTCTTTTAAATATAGTCTCCTTCTTTACTGTGTTGATTCCCTTTATGTCTACACTCTTGCAGATATCAGGCCGAACTGGTCCTAGTGACCACATTCTGGGAAACACAATCGTGGTTCCCTCAACTTCTCGGGATGACAGTGGATTATCCCAGACTGTTGCCACACTCCCAGGAACTTCTACTGGATCCGATAGGGTGTTGCCACTCTCTCTGGTTAGAGGGCTCCCACCTGCGTGGCGCATTTCAGGGGACCATGGGAGGTCCAGGGAGTTTCGGACACTACTAGACGCCTACTGGCAGCGGCATGGGCTCCCAGCACTAGACAGGCATATGGGTCAGCTTGGCGAGCTTGGGCTGGTTGGTGCCTGGCTCGGGACATGGATCCCGTTTCAGCCCCTGTGACTGCGGTCCTACAGTTCCTGACTTCCCTCTTTGAAGCAGGTAAGGCATACAGGACCATCAACCTATATTGGTCGGCCATGTCCTCCACACATCAGGGGTTCGATGGCTGCCAGGCGGGCCAGCACTCCCTGGTGTGCCGGCTTCTCAAAGGTTCTCGCTTCTCTCGGCCGCCCAGACCGCGCTACACCGCGACCTGGGATGTATCAGTGGTGTTATCCTTCCTCGCTTCTTGGCCCACTAATTCCTCGCCCTCCCTAAAACAACTATCAGCCAAGTTGGTCTGTTTGTTTTGTCTCATCTCCTGTAAAAGGATCTCAGATGTCCGAGCACTGGACTTTAATTCCAGATCATATACCACAGAAGGAGTGACATTCAATACCAACAGATGCACCAAAACGTCTATTAGGTCAGTATCTTATCCGAGTTTCCCCACTACACCTGCGCTATGTCTGGTGGCTTGCCTACACGAATATGAGGATCTGTTTTTGCTGTTTTGTTCCGCATCCTCCCCCATCTAATTTTATCTACCCGCCCGCCGTTTCAACCAGTAACTAGCACCACTTTGTCTCGAAGGGTTAAATGGCTACTCTGTCAAGCCGGTATTGACACTGCGATTTTCAGCGCCCATTCGATCAGGGGGGCCTCGGCATCTTCAATGATGGCTTCAGGCGCGCGCCTGGAGGACCTCATGAAGATGGCCGACTGGTCAAGGGAATCGCTTTTTCAGGAATTCTACTTTAGACCGGTTCCTCATACATTTGCGGCAGTAGTCGATCAACTTTAAACTTGCAATTTGAGCCTCCAAGTCTTGTCATAAAATTGCATGATTTTGCTATTACATGACAAAAAGTCATGATTTTATTAAAGACACGGAGGCGAGTATTGTCCCACCCATTTTATACTACTCAGGTTATGACTTGTTTGTTCCCCCCCCCCCAGTTTATTTCAAAATATAGGTGACACGTATCACTTTGATTGGTACGGTAAGTGGGATCTGTGTTGGAAGGGATTTGACTATGTAACTATGTCAGTTTGGATCTATCTGGTTATTTCTCTGCAGATGTTGGTTGGGCCTTGATGTCAGTCTCAAGTACCGATTTCACCCTTGGGCTCCTGTTCTTTATGTTTTCAGAGCCTAATCCGCTCTGGTGGAATGTCTGGTTTCGGCATGTGAAGACCTCTCCCTGCGAATACAGTTTGGTCGGCAGTCATCAAGTTGTGCTTCCATGTTAATTGATGTTATGGTCCTTCTCTTGGGTTGAAGTTTCTACGTTTTTGTTTATTGCTGTTCCTGTTTTGGACTCTGTGTATAGTGTTGCATCTTCAGAAAGAGGGAAATGGAAGGGAAGTGCTGCCTATTATACTGGGACCTGTGCAGGGAGGGGCCTATGTTACTGTATGTTCATTGTTTTTTTTCATTCTGTTTATATCCTTTGCTACTATTGGTGGACGATAAAGAAAGGGATATGCAATACTCGACTCCGTGTCTTTAATAAAATCATGACTTTTTATCATGTAATATCAAAATCATGCAATTACCTACCACTATACTCAAGCATCTTGACAAAGACATGTGTTCGTGATGAAATAGGTTAGCGCAATATGAAGATATTATATTATAGACTGTAAATACAGAGCTGCAAAAAAACAGCTAAAATTCTCCAACTCACCCATGGTCACAGCTAGACAGACACACGCAGACTTTTAACTATAAACCTAAACAAACATTATTTCACTAGTAAAATTATAAGGGAGGGGGAGAGGGAAAGGAAGATATATATATATATATATATATATATATATATATATTCCAAAGAGGAACCTGCACTCACGGGGTTAAAAAGTCCAATCTTTATATGAAAATATTTCAGGAAAGGATAGTGATCCTGAAGAAAGTCCTTTATACAGGACTGAAACATTGATCGAGTTTTAAATATTTTCAAATAAAGATTGGACTTTTTAACCCCGTCAGTGCAGCTACCTTTTTGGACAATGGATACTAAAGCCCTATATTTGGAATATATATTCCAAAGAGGAACCTGCACTCACGGGGTTAAAAAGTCCAATCTTTATATGAAAATATTTCAGGAAAGGATAGTGATCCTGAAGAAAGTCCTTTATACAGGACTGAAACATTGATCGAGTTTTAAATATTTTCATATAAAGATTGGACTTTTTAACCCCGTCAGTGCAGCTACCTTTTTGGACAATGGATACTAAAGCCCTGGCTAACTAGCACGCGGCAACCAAGAGACATTCATATGTGAGTGCAAGAGTTTTTTCATATATACACAACTACATACATACATACATACACACCTCCTAATATTACATGGTTTGAAATATTGTTCCAAAACTCTATCCTTACCTTGACCTTCGAGATCATCACAATTTTTATTATCTACTTCAATCTCCTTCAAGACTTCAGTCAAAGCTTGCCATTTTGGGTTGCTCTCTAAAACCAATTCTTTCTTTCCATCTAGCAAGAAAAATAAAAATTCACAAATCTCATAAAGCAGACGTGTTTTTGCAAATGTGAATAAACAAAACAAAACCATTTTTTAAAATATTTTTTAAAAAACCTAGGAAAATTTGTTAACATCCCTGAAACCCAATGACTAATATTAAATGAACACTCATTACTTTTTATCTCAATGATAGTGCCTGGAAGTCTCAGCTGCCATCTTACCTTAAAGGGCTGAATTGTTGACAAATGGTTTAACCCCAAAGTTGCTGACACTCCTAGCCTATCAGTAACTTTCCATTGATAAAACTGCACATAGTTATATTTTTGGGATATGTATATTATTACTGGCATTTATAAAGTGCCAACATATTTGATAGGACTCTAGAACATGGGTAAGGGGAATGTGTAAAATATTCTGAAATCCAAATCAAAACAAAGTTAAAAAATCATTATCTAAAATATATTTGTGAGACATAGGCAGCTTAATGAAAGTAGCTGTTGGAGATTGCCAAAACCAATGTTAGTCCATCTGCCAATCAAGCTTTAGTGATCAGCAGTTTGTGCTAAGAGTTAATTTTAATTAGGATCAAGCATAGTAATTATAAGAGGATACAAATGGTGAAGGAAGAGGATTGCATTAATAGAGGATGATTCTCCCTGTAAAGAACTTTAGGCTTCTCATTCTCTAATACTTTGCAACAGTGGGAATAAACGGAGAGAATATATTTTGGAAATGTCCAGATTGGGAATGGAGTTTAAGTGGCCCAGGGGTATTATGTAGCATTCTCAGTGTGCAGAGAGTGGGGCCTAAATTTAAGACTGAGGTATTAAGCAGAGGATCCACTTACCTCCTTAACAAGAAAACAATAGACCTATATTTTAGTTTTTTTTTGGATGGGGGGCTTTCAAGGCACGTCCTTATCCAATCATGTTATCACAATAAGCGCTACCATCAGTAGTGCTGTTATTTCAACAACAGTAGTGATGGTACGGTTGTGTTATGGAGAGATAAAGTGTTGAAAAAAAACAAACAGGATTATTCTCTTAAATAAGAACTGTCAGAAATTCATGGAGAATTTCAAATTTGAAGACCAAGTAGCCGGACGGGAATCATAGCTAATTTAGAGAAATTTTCAAGTTTGACTATTTTAGCCTAACGTTTGAAATTCTCCTTTTGGGAATAAATAACCCTGGTTGAAATAATGCTCATTAAAGGGGTAATGTCTGGACATATAGCACTATCTAAAAGGACTTACCATGAAAAAGTTGAAACAGCACACTCCGGAAACCATAATAACTAAATAAATAACCTGAAAAAAATGTTATGGTACAAGGTCGTCCAAGGGGTGCTGGATTACCTCAAAGGATTAAACTGCTAAATGGATTAACCTCAAAGTCAGCTCTGACCATTCACTTCCTTTCCAGTCTGAGGAGTCAATCAGAAAGCATCGGACTGGGAACAGCTGATAGGATGAGAGCATCAGATACATACTTTTTTCCCTCTGATTTGTGAATGGGGAGGTATTTACAGGCTGAGAGCATTAACCTACTAGTTGAAATCTCAGTCTGGAATGGAAGTGAAGAGGCAGAGCTGATGGGCGCCAGTCTGAAGACTGATTTTAAACTGCTCATTAAAGGAAACTAATTGAAGTAAGCTGGCACACCATAACGTAATTCTGCTGTAGCTGTAATAGTGCCTGAAGTGTCTCTTTATCTGACCTAATAGCAAAGTAGCCACTTACAGCAGAACGTTAGGTATCTATTTTTCACATACCATTTGTGATTTCTGTTGACTTGGCTTGCACATTTTCAGATGTTTTGGGCTTCTTGATAGTTTTAGAATCTGGAACATGGTAAACCCTGGCACGAGCATGAACAAACATTGATGTGCTAGAGTCAAGAAACAGCCAGCCTTAAACATAAAACAGAAGCAGGAAGATATTATGTAAAACCTAGGATGCACATTATCTTGAGAATATATATTTTATTTATAAAATATTTTACCAGGAAGGATACATTGAGATTTTGCTCGTTTTCAAGTATGTCCTGGGTTCACAAAACATTGCATTGATACAATAGGGTACAATAAAATACAAAAACAATATTAATAGACAATATATATAAAATTTAATATAGAACAGGTAAGAAATATATAATCAACCATGACATCTCTTAAATGATTTTAGTGCCTGGGGAAGATTTGAAAGTGTGCGGGAGGTCGTGCCATAATGGCGGTGCTCTGTAGGAAAAGGAGGATCGGGCTGCTTTCTTTTTGTAATGAGGAAGACTAAAAAAAGTGCTGGTACTGGATCGGAAGTTAAAGGAGGTGGGAACAGCATTCTGCTCAGTTAGGGTGGGAGCTTCCCAGAAAAGCTCTAATACACAATGCTGAAAAGATGAAGGGTGCATCTGGATATCAGCGACAGTCAGTTTAGTTCTTTTAGCATGTCACAGTGGTGGGTCCTGTAATTACATTGTGGAACAAATCGGCAGAACGAGTTATACAATGTATTAAGCTTATTTCAGTGAGTTTGCGGTGCATATACTACATCCCAATAATCAATGATTGGCATCAGCATTTGCTGTACAATCTTTTCCTTTACTGTAGGGCTTAGGCAGCATTTGTTTCTGTACAGGGCACCTAGTTTTGGATAAAGTTTTGATGCAAGTTTTTCTCTGTGGAGGCCAAAAGATAGATTGGTGTCATTTAGGTACTGTTCCAAAGAGCACTGTGACAGTTTTGTCAGTGTTTAGGAAGAGTTTGATTTTTGTGATCCACTTTTCTACCTCTGTGAACTGGTCTTGGAGCACAACCTCAAGCTGCGATAGATCGCATGTGCTTGCTTAGATTACTGTGTCATCTGCGTATATGTGTACATTTGAGGATTTAAAGAGATTAGGCAGATCAATTATAAATAATGTGAATAGTAGAGAACTAAGAATGGAACCTTTGGGAACACCACACGTGACTGGCAGAGGGAGGGAGTCACTGTCAGAAATGGACACACATTGTGATCGATCCAATACATATGATCGAAACCAGGTTAGCGGACGATCACCAATACCAAGTTTTTTAGTTTGTGCAGTAGAATGTCATGGTCTACTGTTTCAGAGGCCTTTGCAAAATCAAGGAAAATTGCTCCAGTTAGGTTTCCTTGTTCAATGCTAGTTTGGATGTCATTGCAAACTTTTAAGAGGGCAATTGTAGTTGAGTGATTCGGGTAAAAGCCTGATTGATCAGGGGTCAGATAGTTAGATTGTTGGTAATACTCACATAGTTGCATATGGCCGCATTTTTCTAAGATTTTTGACAATACTGGGAGCAATGATACAGGGCAATAGTTAGAAGCCAAAGAAGTGTCACCACTTTTATGGATAGGCACTACTCTCGCAGCCTTTTCCAAGTTTTTGTATGTACCCAGACACCAAGGATTCGTTAATTAGGGTTGTGACAGATTTAGGAATTGCCAGCGCACTGAGCTTCAGCAGCATTACTGGGATTTGATCAGGTTTAGATTATTAATGACACTGATAGGTACAGGTCTAAAATTTAACTTGTCTGTGTTGGATTTTTGCAAATTTAGTGGGGCCTGATCCACATTTGTAGTTTCAGGATGTGTGTCATTTGTTAGCTTGGCAATCAGGGTGGTGGAGCATCCAACAAACTAATTGTTTAAGACATTTGCTACATCTAAGAGGAGTTGCAGGGTTTGGTGGTTCACTTTGACAGTGGAGGGGTGGGAGTGGATTGGGGGTGTTTGTAAGTTATTTATGACTTTGCAAAAGTTTCTAGGGTTTGAGACGTTATTGTTCAGATTTCCACTGAAATATTGGGCCTTGGCCAATTTTGTTTGTTTTGTGCATATATTTCACCATTGTCTATATGCACAGTGATCGTTCATAGAGCAAGTACGCTTGAACTTTGAACACAATGAATCCTGAAACTGGTACATTTGAATGGAGGTCAGCTGTGTATCTGCATTGTGATTGGCTGAGAGACTAACTGCGGATGATGTCAGCCAAGCAGACAGATCAGGGGCAGAGCCAGCAGGAGCAGCAGACTAAATTTTACTAAACGTAGGGGGGGGGGGGGGCTAGATGGTGGTTTTAACACTATCATGTGTGTTCTTGACCCTATAGTGTTCCTTTAATTATATGCAAGAAAATTAGAAAAAAAAAAAAAGAAAAAAAAAAAAACCACACACATATACAAAAATATATATATATTTTTAAAAGGGTTCTGAATGTCCAGGGTAACTTGCATCCAAGTTCTGCAGAGCTACAGAAGCCATATGTCATTCACTGGCTGAGAGAGTCAGCTGACTGCTCTCAGCCAATGCATGCAACTACGTGCATAGAGATATGCACAGAATTGACATTAGCCAGCTTGGTGCTATGATGCCCCAATAACACGGTCAGAGGTGGAGTTACACCTAAGGCAGCAAAGGGGTTAAACTCTGTATGTGCAGCATTTCATAGATAAATGCTGCACATACAGACTCCCAGCACCATGACCACTTCAAATCAGTGATGTGGTCATCCTGCTTGGAGTAACCATTTAAAACCAGCACTAACTAGAAACTAGCAATTAAACAAGGCATGTTCAAAAATTCTTCACATCCTCCAATTTACATGTATTTTCTATTACATATATACAGGGAGTGCAGAATTATTAGGCAAATGAGTATTTTGACCACATCATCCTCTTTATGCATGTTGTCTTACTCCAAGCTGTATAGGCTCGAAAGCCTACTACCAATTAAGCATATTAGGTGATGTGCATCTCTGTAATGAGAAGGGGTGTGGTCTAATGACATCAACACCCTATATCAGGTGTGCATAATTATTAGGCAACTTCCTTTCCTTTGGCAAAATGGGTCAAAAGAAGGACTTGACAGGCTCAGAAAAGTCAAAAATAGTGAGATATCTTGCAGAGGGATGCAGCACTCTTAAAATTGCAAAGCTTCTGAAGCGTGATCATCGAACAATCAAGCGTTTCATTCAAAATAGTCAACAGGGTCGCAAGAAGCGTGTGGAAAAACCAAGGCGCAAAATAACTGCCCATGAACTGAGAAAAGTCAAGCGTGCAGCTGCCACGATGCCACTTGCCACCAGTTTGGCCATATTTCAGAGCTGCAACATCACTGGAGTGCCCAAAAGCACAAGGTGTGCAATACTCAGAGACATGGCCAAGGTAAGAAAGGCTGAAAGACGACCACCACTGAACAAGACACACAAGCTGAAACGTCAAGACTGGGCCAAGAAATATCTCAAGACTGATTTTTCTAAGGTTTTATGGACTGATGAAATGAGAGTGAGTCTTGATGGGCCAGATGGATGGGCCCGTGGCTGGATTGGTAAAGGGCAGAGAGCTCCAGTCCGACTCAGACGCCAGCAAGGTGGAGGTGGAGTACTGGTTTGGGCTGGTATCATCAAAGATGAGCTTGTGGGGCCTTTTGGGTTGAGGATGGAGTCAAGCTCAACTCCCAGTCCTACTGCCAGTTCCTGGAAGACACCTTCTTCAAGCAGTGGTACAGGAAGAAGTCTGCATCCTTCAAGAAAAACATGATTTTCATGCAGGACAATGCTCCATCACACGCGTCCAAGTACTCCACAGCGTGGCTGGCAAGAAAGGGTATAAAAGAAGAAAATCTAATGACATGGCCTCCTTGTTCACCTGATCTGAACCCCATTGAGAACCTGTGGTCCATCATCAAATGTGAGATTTACAAGGAGGGAAAACAGTACACCTCTCTGAACAGTGTCTGGGAGGCTGTGGTTGCTGCTGCACGCAATGTTGATGGTGAACAGATCAAAACACTGACAGAATCCATGGATGGCAGGCTTTTGAGTGTCCTTGCAAAGAAAGGTGGCTATATTGGTCACTGATTTGTTTTTGTTTTGTTTTTGAATGTCAGAAATGTATATTTGTGAATGTTGAGATGTTATATTGGTTTCACTGGTAATAATAAATAATTGAAATGGGTATATATTTGTTTTTTGTTAAGTTGCCTAATAATTATGCACAGTAATAGTCACCTGCACACACAGATATCCCCCTAACATAGCTATAACTAAAAACAAACTAAAAACTACTTCCAAAAATATTCAGCTTTGATATTAATGAGTTTTTTGGGTTCATTGAGAACATGGTTGTTGTTCAATAATAAAATTAATCCTCAAAAATACAACTTGCCTAATAATTCTGCACTCCCTGTACATACATACATACACACACACACACACACACGTAAAAAAATAAAATGATTATAGAAGCGTTCTAGCAGTGGTTAATGGAGGTCTGTGGGTAGACAGCTGTGCAGAGCTCTGAATGTCTTTATTCTATGTCATAAAAAATATTTTATGCAATAATGTGTATATCTTTTATAAACACAAATATGTGGGGGAAAAGGAAGAACTGTTCATAATGTATAAATACTATTTGTTTCAAGTGCACTTTATTTACCTGAATTTTGCCCAAATGCCTTTTCACTTGCCCTCATTGATTCTAGAAGGTTTAAAAAAGTCACACAGTCATACTGGGAAAGGTATTGTAAGAGTGTGCGAAGAATCTTTAAATCTTGAACCAAAGACTTTGTCTTGGCTCCAAGCTGATGCCATAGTGGATCCAAGTAATGGCGGATAGTCTGGGGAAAGGAAGATTAGTGAAACTTTAGCTTGACATAATCAATAATTTGCTAAGTGTGTCAAAATTCATTATTGAGCAAAATATTACACTGGACAGAAAATTCACAATAGAGTGGAACCTCGGAACTGAAACGGTCCCTTACCCAAACAATTTGGTAGTTGAACAAAAAAATTCAATTAAAAAAAAAAATGGCTAGATACACGAACGATTCTCAGTACACGAACAAATCATGCCACAAACATGTTCCATTATAAAGCTATGTCTCACGTTAGACACATTTTAAATGTTAGAACAGTTACCTATCCCCATCCAACCAATCATATTTATTCTCTTTTCCACTTACACCATCAACTCTCATCATTACAGATAAAGTGAAGTTACATTTTCTTTTTATTTACTGTACATTGTGTTTATTATTTATTTTCTATTTGATTGTATGCATGTAAGGCATTATTAATTTTTTTATTAAAATGCTGTAATTCTGGGGGTCTGGAACGGATTATTCCGATTTACATTAATTCTTATTGAAAATGTTGATTTGGTTTTCCAACAAATCGGAACTCGAACAGCCTTCTGGAAGGGATTAAGTTTGAGTTCCGAGGTTCCACTGTAATTAATTTGGCTGCTTTCTCCATTAGAAAACATTTTGTGAAAGGTATTATTTGAGTGTGGTTTTTTTTGTTTTATGTTTTTTTTAAATGTAAACCATCCACAGATATGAAAGTGCAGATAAAGAAATAAAAATATAATTGCAAGCACAACTTGGAGAAAACTGATATCAAAGAGGCTGTATGTTTACAAATGACTTCAGTACTACACCATTCAAGGAGCTGAGTGTAGGGTGCCCTTTGCACCATCAACTCAACAATTAGGCAAATTTGTAAAGATGCTTAGAGTGATCCATTAAGAACATATAGATGTTTACATGGTTATTCACTAAAGTGACTATTGTTAGGAATTCAAGGCAAATGACAAATTAAAGGCCATAGCAGCTGTACTGGTAGGAAAGCAGACTTGAAGAATGTTTCCTTTTGGCTTTAAAGGAACACCATAGGCACCCAAACCACTTTAGCTTAACAAAGCAGTTTTGGTGTATAGATCATGCCCCCCAGTTTCACTGCTCAATTCTCTGCCACTTAGGAGATTTAAATCACTTTATTTATACACCCCTAGTCACTCCTCCCTGCATGAGACTTGAACATCCTTCCTAAACACTTCCTGTACAGAAACATGTAATGTTTACACTTCCTCTATAGCAGTCTGCTTAAATAAGAATGTTGTATCTCCTGTTCTGTTAATAGCCTTAACCCCTTAAGGATCAAACTTCTGGAATAAAAGGGAATCATGACATGTCATGTGTCCTTAAGGGGTTAAAGACCCTGCAAGAGCCTCTTGTGTGTAATTAAAGTTTAATTTAAAGAGTAGATGGTTAAAACTTTTTCAGTAAGTTACATCTGACTGAAAATGACACCATTTTGATTTCATGCAGGCTGTGTTAGTCACAGCCAGTAAAGGTGTGTCTAGGGCTGCACAAGCAGAAGCAAAAGTGATTTAACCTAAAATCGAGCCATGAGACATCAGATCTATATACCAAAACTGCTTCATTAAGCTAAATTTGTTTTGATGCCTGTAGTGGCCATTTAAAATTTGAATCTCATTTTAAATTACGGACGGTTCTCACATGAGTGACTTACCGAATTATAATAACTATTATCAATAATAAAGAAACAAACACCTTGTCAAATGCTTTGCCAATGGCACTTTCCAAAGATAAATCCTCCACCTCTAGAGCTGGGTTGTAGCGCTTGAGTTCTTTCAGACAAGCATTCATAATGTCCAATATTGAAGCTTGAATAGCAAGCATGGCAGGGGTCATGGAGATGTGCAGCTCTACTACTTCAGGTTTATGCTTCTCTAAGAAAGAATTCACAGATATGTGGAACCTGGAAGGAAAAACAGCAGTGACTACATACATATGTTGCAATGTTTTTTGCCTTGCAGTAGGCACTACAGAGTAGGGAAAGTATTAATACTTTCTACGGATAATTAAACTTTGCAAAAGTTAACTCAAATACTAATACTAAAACAAACATAGTATGCACATGTAATGTTAACGTAAAAAAAAATATTATGGAGTACACTATACTAAATATCTGATGAATAAAATATATCAGGAATGCTAGGTAAGGGGCATGTATTCTAAGCATCATAAACACTACAGCCCGCTGAAGGGCTAGGAGCATCCTGACACCGTTCCCTAGTAATTGGAAAACTTAACTGGGTCCCTGTAGGATGCTGAGCATTCGGTAATTGCCTCTAGCAGTAACATTAAATATCTCTGTATGTTCAGTGTTTCATAGTGAAATGCTGCACGTACAGACTACAAGCACTTCGAATCAATGAAGTGGCCATGGTGCTTGAAATAACCCTTTAAATATGATCCAAGTACTATTCACATGCCCTAGAACCATTTCACACGTAGTTTGTATACAAATCAAACGATAAGAGTTTAGGAAAAAATGGTGTGTGTAATGACTTCATGGCTTTGTTTTGTTTGTCTTAGGTACCTACCTCTTCGCCCCACCCCCACTGCCCTCGTGGTTAGGAGTATAACAAGCCAGAGCCTGGAAACCTCACTCTTATCGAGAATACACTGCTGAAGCAGCGCCTTATCTAACAAATCATAGGTGTCAATATAGGTTCACACAATGCACCCAGCTAGTACATCACAACACTTTATGGGCAGTCACGTGCTGCTCTACCTGCCTCTCAGGTCTCCCTTTCATAACCACACAGAATAGATTACGGTGAACACTACCTGGTTTAGCTTGTGCGGAGAATTACTAACTTAGACAATTAGTGGCAAGCAGCAGGGAAACAAGCCCAATGTTATTTTAAGTTTAAGATTACATTAAGTTTATTATTGGTGAATGGTTTTTCCTTAACTCACTATACACGTCACATGAGAGGCCATGATACTCAGAAGTAGGAAAATAACAGCCAATATTATGCAAGGATTCTGCAATGCATTTGTCTGCAGCTAATTGTATTCTACGTACCAATACTGCACTACCAACTGCTTTTTTCATTTTAGAGCAATGGGTTTTTATGTGTGCTGCATACCCCCAAATGGTTAATTGGAAAGTGCAAAATGTCTGTTCGCCACACTTGGTGTAAACCCAACATTTTAAGCATATATCTTTAAAAAAAAACACTGGGAATCTGTCAAAACATACCGTGGCCATAGATAAAGTTTCCTCACAAATAAATTTCTCATTACTCTCTCCACTTGGCAGAATCCCATGTTGAATGCAATCGGATTGTCTGTAAAGGCTTTGATGAAACCTTGCTTGTTCTTCTGTCGGTACAAGCGGAGTATAAATGCCTCCTGGCAGGACTCTATAATCTTGTGTGCTTTATACACCAGGATACCTGCAATCATGAAAATGCAGACATTGAGACAGACCATTACTCTGCTATAAATGCAGGTTTACTCAGAAAAATAGCATGCTTTCCTTACATGCAACTAACAAGTATTTTTTTTTTTTTTTTTTAGTGTAAATTGTGAGCTATTTACACCAGCAGATAGCTAACTAAAAGTTAGCTGTGGTAAGTGCTAGATATTTTTTTTAAATCACTAGATAGTGTTTCTGTATGGGTAGTCTATGTCAAATAAATTAACCCCTGCAATGCAGCACAACTGTGTGTGCAGTATGCACACGGCACAAGAGAAGTAAAGATGGAGAGTGCATACACTCATACCAGGTTTATCTCTACATGCCTGAGTGTAGCAACATTGCACTAACCAGTGGCAGGCACGTTAGCTGTGAGCTGGTTAGGGAGATTAACAGACCACTTCAAATGTCCCAGAATCATTTTCTTATATTTATATTTGTGAGCCCAGGTTAAAAAGAGACCCACATTGTAGTTTACTTTTGCTCCCCTCTACACCATAGCTGCATATGCATCCACTGTCATAATTCCCAGGATGAGGTATGACTAACTTGTACCGGAACCCCAGCAGTGTGGGAAGAGGCAGGGATTTGATCTTACATCTTGGTCCTGCCTGCTTCACACATTGTGAAATAGCAAAATTGTGTGGGGTAAACAAAGTGCAGAATGTAAGGTAAAGTGTCTATTCCTCTTTGAGTGATAAACGCCCCATATAATCATAAACTGAGAAATATATATATATAAAAAAAAAAAAGGTTAATCTTTGGGTGGCCTTCACATATTCCAGAAGGGAATATCACCAGAATCAATTAATGATATAATAGTGCCACTGTTTAATGCATTACTTACCAGATACTAGGTTTGCAGGAATTCTGTCAGTAAGGAAATCCACCACAAGAATTCGGCTAGTGACAAATAAGACTCCACCTTGTGTGTAGACATCATAGCGTTCACTGCTGACAATCTCATTGGTGATAATGCGTGGTAGATGGGTAACACCTTCAGAACGTAGCTGTTCTATAAGGTATTCCTGCAAAAGAAGACATTCATCTTTATACTCTTGCATTTTTAAACTTGTATATGAAATGGTTTGTAGAATTGTCTATATCACTGTCAGGTGCAACGTTTTAAAGGACCACTATAGTGCCAGGAAAACATACTCGTTTTCCTGGCATTATAGTGCCCTGAGGGTGCGCGCGCATTCAGCCAGTCACATAGGAAAGCATTCATAATGCTTTCCTATGGACGCTGGCGTGCTCTCACTGTGAAAATCACAGTGAGAAGCACGCAAGCGCCTCTAGTGGCTGTCATGAGACAGCCACTAGAGGAAATAGGGGAAGGCTTAACCCATTCATAAACATAGCAGTTTCTCTGAAACTGCTATGTTTATGAAAAAATGGGTTAATCCTATCTGGACCTGGCACCCAGACCACTTCATTAAGCTGAAGTGGTCTGGGTGCCTAGAGTGGTCCATTAAGTAGTAAATAAGTCCATCATCCTTTTAAACAAACAAAAACACAACAAAAATTAATTTAAAAAAAAAAAACATTAATAAGAGGATCGTAAACTAATCTCAAATGCAAATGCTTAAAAACAGTACATATACTGGGACTTCTTCCAATGTCACCTACAGTAAAAAATAGATTCATTAAAAAATATTTAGTAATCCCAATAACAATAAGTACACAGCAAAACTCAGAGTTGCAGTAAACTATAATCCACAAGACAAAACTGTGGCTTAAGTTAACTAACCAAGGTCTGGCAATAGCAACCCTAAGCATTGAATATCATTTTACATTTTTTTTTTTTTTTTTTTTTAATATATATATAAACAAGGAGTCGCTGCAACATTTTATCTGCAGGTTTTTTTTCTGTTACAGAAGAACAATGAAAACGGTGTCTGATGGGATTGTTAGTAACTGGTACTCTCTGTGTCTGATGGGATTGTTAGTAACTGGTACTCTCTGTTTCTGGTGGAATTGTTAGTAACTGGTGCTCTCTCTGTCTCATGTGATTGTTAGTAACTGGTGCTCTCTGTGTCTCATGTGATTGTTAGTAACTGGTGCTCTCTGTGTCTGATGTGATTGTTAGTAACTGGTACTCTCTGTGTCTGATGTGATTGTTAGTAACTGGTACTCTCTGTGTCTGATGTGATTGTTAGTAACTGGTACTCTCTGTGTCTGATGGGATTGTTAGTAACTGGTACTCTCTGTGTCTGATGGGATTATTAGTAACTGGTACTCTCTGTGTCTGATGGGATTGTTAGTAACTGGTACTCTCTGTGTCTGATGGGATTGTTAGTAACTGGTACTCTCTGTGTCTGATGTGATTGTTAGAAACTGGTGCTCTCTGTGTCTGATGGGATTGTTAGAAACTGGTGCTCTCTGTGTCTGATGGGATTGTTAGAAACTGGTGCTCTCTGTGTCTGATGGGATTGTTAGTAACTGGTACTCTCTGTGTCTGATGTGATTGTTAGTAACTGGTACGCTCTGTGTCTGATGGGATTATTAGTAACTGGTACTCTCTGTGTCTGATGTGATTGTTAGTAACTGGTGCTCTCTGTGTCTGATGTGATTGTTAGTAACTGGTACTCTCTGCGTCTGATGTGATTGTTAGTAACTGGTACTCTCTGTGTCTGATGTGATTGTTAGTAACTGGTGCTGTCTGTGTCTGATGGGATTGTTAGTAACTGGTGCTGTCTGTGTCTGATGGGATTGTTAGTAACTGGTGCTGTCTGTGTCTGATGGGATTGTTAGTAACTGGTGCTCTCTGTGTCTGATGTGATTTTTAGTAACTGGTACTCTCTGTGTCTGATGTGATTGTTAGTGACTGGTGCTGTCTGTGTCTGATGTGATTATTAGTAACTGGTACTCTCTGTGTCTGATGTGATTGTTAGTAACTGGTACTCTCTGTGTCTGATGGGATTGTTAGTAACTGGTACTCTCTGTGTCTGATGTGATTGTTAGAAACTGGTGCTCTCTGTGTCTGATGGGATTGTTAGAAACTGGTGCTCTCTGTGTCTGATGGGATTGTTAGAAACTGGTGCTCTCTGTGTCTGATGGGATTGTTAGTAACTGGTACTCTCTGTGTCTGATGGGATTGTTAGTAACTGGTACTCTCTGTGTCTGATGTGATTGTTAGTAACTGGTACGCTCTGTGTCTGATGGGATTATTAGTAACTGGTACTCTCTGTGTCTGATGTGATTGTTAGTAACTGGTGCTCTCTGTGTCTGATGTGATTGTTAGTAACTGGTACTCTCTGCGTCTGATGTGATTGTTAGTAACTGGTACTCTCTGTGTCTGATGTGATTGTTAGTAACTGGTGCTGTCTGTGTCTGATGGGATTGTTAGTAACTGGTGCTGTCTGTGTCTGATGGGATTGTTAGTAACTGGTGCTGTCTGTGTCTGATGTGATTGTTAGTAACTGGTGCTGTCTGTGTCTGATGTGATTGTTAGTAACTGGTACTCTCTGTGTCTGATGTGATTGTTAGTGACTGGTGCTGTCTGTGTCTGATGTGATTATTAGTAACTGGTACTCTCTGTGTCTGATGTGATTGTTAGTAACTGGTGCTCTCTGTGTCTGATGGGATTGTTAGTAACTGGTGCTCTCTGTGTCTGATGTGATTATTAGTAACTGGTACTCTCTGTGTCTGATGTGATTGTTAGTAACTGGTTCTCTCTGTGTCTGATGTGATTGTTAGTAACTGGTTCTCTCTGTGTCTGATGTGATTGTTAGTAACTGGTGCTCTCTGTGTCTGATGTGATTGTTAGTAACTGGTGCTCTCTGTGTCTGATGGGATTATTAGTAACTGGTGCTCTCTGTGTCTGATGGGATTATTAGTAACTGGTACTCTCTGTGTCTGATGGGATTGTTAGTAACTGGTACTCTCTGTGTCTGATGTGATTGTTAGTAACTGGTGCTCTCTGTGTCTGATGTGATTGTTAGTAACTGGTGCTCTCTGTGTCTGATGTGATTGTTAGTAACTGGTACTCTCTGTGTCTGATGTGATTGTTAGTAACTGGTACTCTCTGTGTCTGATGTGATTGTTAGTAACTGGTACTCTCTGTGTCTGATGGGATTGTTAGTAACTGGTACTCTCTGTGTCTGATGGGATTATTAGTAACTGGTACTCTCTGTGTCTGATGGGATTGTTAGTAACTGGTACTCTCTGTGTCTGATGGGATTGTTAGTAACTGGTACTCTCTGTGTCTGATGTGATTGTTAGAAACTGGTGCTCTCTGTGTCTGATGGGATTGTTAGAAACTGGTGCTCTCTGTGTCTGATGGGATTGTTAGTAACTGGTACTCTCTGTGTCTGATGTGATTGTTAGTAACTGGTACGCTCTGTGTCTGATGGGATTATTAGTAACTGGTACTCTCTGTGTCTGATGGGATTATTAGTAACTGGTGCTCTCTGTGTCTGATGTGATTGTTAGTAACTGGTGCTCTCTGTGTCTGATGTGATTGTTAGTAACTGGTACTCTCTGTGTCTGATGTGATTGTTAGTAACTGGTGCTGTCTGTGTCTGATGTGATTGTTAGTAACTGGTGCTGTCTGTGTCTGATGGGATTGTTAGTAACTGGTGCTGTCTGTGTCTGATGGGATTGTTAGTAACTGGTGCTGTCTGTGTCTGATGTGATTGTTAGTAACTGGTGCTCTCTGTGTCTGATGTGATTGTTAGTAACTGGTGCTCTCTGTGTCTGATGTGATTTTTAGTAACTGGTACTCTCTGTGTCTGATGTGATTGTTAGTGACTGGTGCTGTCTGTGTCTGATGTGATTATTAGTAACTGGTACTCTCTGTGTCTGATGTGATTGTTAGTAACTGGTACTCTCTGTGTCTGATGGGATTGTTAGTAACTGGTACTCTCTGTGTCTGATGTGATTGTTAGAAACTGGTGCTCTCTGTGTCTGATGGGATTGTTAGAAACTGGTGCTCTCTGTGTCTGATGGGATTGTTAGAAACTGGTGCTCTCTGTGTCTGATGGGATTGTTAGTAACTGGTACTCTCTGTGTCTGATGGGATTGTTAGTAACTGGTACTCTCTGTGTCTGATGTGATTGTTAGTAACTGGTACTCTCTGTGTCTGATGGGATTATTAGTAACTGGTACTCTCTGTGTCTGATGTGATTGTTAGTAACTGGTGCTCTCTGTGTCTGATGTGATTGTTAGTAACTGGTACTCTCTGCGTCTGATGTGATTGTTAGTAACTGGTACTCTCTGTGTCTGATGTGATTGTTAGTAACTGGTGCTGTCTGTGTCTGATGGGATTGTTAGTAACTGGTGCTGTCTGTGTCTGATGGGATTGTTAGTAACTGGTGCTGTCTGTGTCTGATGTGATTGTTAGTAACTGGTGCTGTCTGTGTCTGATGTGATTGTTAGTAACTGGTACTCTCTGTGTCTGATGTGATTGTTAGTGACTGGTGCTGTCTGTGTCTGATGTGATTATTAGTAACTGGTACTCTCTGTGTCTGATGTGATTGTTAGTAACTGGTGCTCTCTGTGTCTGATGGGATTGTTAGTAACTGGTGCTCTCTGTGTCTGATGTGATTATTAGTAACTGGTACTCTCTGTGTCTGATGTGATTGTTAGTAACTGGTTCTCTCTGTGTCTGATGTGATTGTTAGTAACTGGTTCTCTCTGTGTCTGATGTGATTGTTAGTAACTGGTGCTCTCTGTGTCTGATGTGATTGTTAGTAACTGGTGCTCTCTGTGTCTGATGGGATTATTAGTAACTGGTGCTCTCTGTGTCTGATGGGATTATTAGTAACTGGTACTCTCTGTGTCTGATGGGATTGTTAGTAACTGGTACTCTCTGTGTCTGATGTGATTGTTAGTAACTGGTGCTGTCTGTGTCTGATGTGATTGTTAGTAACTGGTGCTCTCTGTGTCTGATGTGATTGTTAGTAACTGGTGCTGTCTGTGTCTGATGTGATTGTTAGAAACTGGTGCTCTCTGTGTCTGATGTGATTGTTAGAAACTGGTGCTCTCTGTGTCTGATGTGATTGTTAGTAACTGGTGCTGTCTGTGTCTGGTGTGATTGTTAGTAACTGGTGCTGTCTGTATCTGATGTGATTGTTAGTAACTGGTGCTGTCTGTGTCTGATGTGATTGTTAGTAACTGGTGCTGTCTGTGTCTGATGTGATTGTTAGTAACTGGTGCTCTCTGTGTCTGATGTACTGGTTTTGGTTGACCTCTGGCCAGCTATTGCAGAGAACCTCTCCCATGACGTTCAGCCACACAGTTGGCTGAGCATCATGGGAGCTGTAGTCCCCAGGAGTTGGAGTGCCATATGGAAGCTGTCAGTGATACCATGCACACAGAGCTGCCAGGATGCTGTATTATCACCTCCTCTGCTGTATCAGTATTTAACACCAGCACCAGGTTCCCCGGATCGCAGTACAGCTTCAGAAAGTTCTGCAGGATCCTATCGATCCCCAATCCGCGGCCAGTGATCACCAAGCCGTCTTCATGGAACAAGTCCAGGAACACTTGGTTCTCATACTCCAGGAGAGGCGCCATTTGCAAACACCTCTAACCCGGAAGCGGCACGCAAGACCATAGAGTTCAACAACAACAACAAGCTCTCAGCACCATCGAGACGTAAAAGGAAACCAGACAATCCCAGGGATAGGACTCCCAAGAGTGAACTAGCTGAGGCTGTCATAGCATAGGAACAAAATAGAGGGGTACATCTAGCACTGATATTAATGTTAATATGCTTAAGATTTTATTTATTTTTAAATTCTGAATTTAGTACAATCTGCTGAAGGAAATGTAGATAACACAATTTTAAAACCTAACTTTTAGTAATCATTATTAAAATATATACTGGATAATAGAGGTGAGAGGGGTGGTTGCTATGCAAGGGGAGGATATATATTAAAAAATAACAATAATAATAATAAATATATAAATCAAAGCAGTAGCTATACTTTAAGCTGACCATTAGAATGGGTGAATTAGAATTACTATTTATAGTACAACACTGCTCTCTAGTGAATTTAGGATAGAATAGAATTCAGACTCAGTGTTAAAACAACACTCCAAGCACCAAAACTACTCCAGCTCACTGTACTGTTTATGTTGCCAGGAATTACCAGGCGTGAGTCTTGTACGCGATAGTTTGGCTCACCCGAATAATGTTTTCCGCAATTTAAATTTTGTTCGGGACGTCTGATGCAGGTCCATGTGACAGTTTGGTTCAGCCAGAAATATTTGGGGAACCATTAGTGCTTGACCAACAAAATAATGGTGGAAACAGCGCCTATTGGCTAATGGCTGCACAATATCAGCCATTTTTGATATGCCAATTTGATTTGTCAACTTGTTATAATTACATTATTATATCTCTATTTAAAAAAACAACAACAAGTGAGAACTCATATAATGATGGTTGATTGTTTTTCGTTCTACAATATTGTATTAATGAATATTTAAAAAAATTAAAGGAAAAATTCAGTGGCAATTGATGACCCACTCATCCCTTATACTCTGAGAAGAACAAAACGTACTCCCATATCCAGTCTGTAGCGTGAGTGACCGTCCTTAAGTGTGAAAAACACAGTGTCCTAGAAGTTATAGGAGTCATTTCATTTGATTTTTTGAAAACTTTTTTTCCCCAAAGGGTGAAACGAATGAGTGGGTCATCAAATACACACTTACTTTCTTTTTTCTTTAAAAAATCCTGGTTTAAAATTAAATGACTCCTACTGATGCTGCAACGCCCCCTTTTTTCCAAATGCTTTTCATTTTTGTTGTTTCACCCTGACTTCCACAGACACAGTTGGGAGAATCTGATGATAGGGGACTGTTTTTTTCACAATAAAGTATGGTCACTAATGCTACAGACTCTTCCCAGCCACGCTGATGAAAGAAAGGAAATCAGGGCTATAAGGAGGCTTGCACTGGCAGTGGAAGCAGCCACATAAATTATTGTGGAGCTGCTGGTAAAAGTTGTGGGCCTAGCTGACTCTGCTTTTGCAACAACAGATTCTTCAGAAATTTTAGATTTTGAGTCACCAATTGCAGCAGAATAGGACAGAGAATAAAAAAAACATTGGCCTCCTGGATGGGTAATTGAATGTAACAGACATGCTGCTCCCACTTTCCTGAGGCTGAATACTACTAATAGTAGTGGTACTGCTGGTGGCAGTGGCGATGCTGCCTGCAGTAGTGTTATGACTGTGTTTAGACACAGTGGTGTTAAGATAGTCTATGGTACTACTGCTGATGGTGGATTGGGGAACAGAACTACTTCCCTTAGACTCAATTTCTATATGGGATTAGAATGTACCATTGATATTGGTGGATTTGTTTTTATTATACAAAAAAAAAGTGATATGATTGTGTATCGTGTAAAGTAACACAACTTTATTTTGCTAATTAAGCCCATTTTTGTAACATTTTTGTCTTGCTTATAACACTATACTGCGCAAACAGTTAGCAAACAGACCTGTCAAACTCTAAATCAGTGAATCATACTTAGTGTAAGTGGCATTGGCAATATCTTGGCTTGGGTATTCCTATGTGCTGAACTGCCTACCTCAATAGCTGCAGTCTAATTGTCTGAAACAACCTGCTTGGAAATATAGATTTTTTTTCTCCTGTATTGATCACTTCTCACTTGATCTGTGAATAAAATCAACATTTAGTGACTGTCTCCTAACCATCAATCACCTTTTTTCCTTTTTTTGGACAAGAGATGCCGCCTAATCATTGGGCAGAACACAAGTATATCATGGCAAAATAAGCTGCTTCTTTGCCCTCCCTTAAAAATAAATCATCTTCCTCTCCATTGCATCCCTCTTTTTTAGTACCACAGGCTGAATCCTGAAGCATCCAAACATGTTTCCCATCTGCATGGTGCTTTGGAGATGCAGACTGTAACAAAACCCATGCTTGGACAGACTCAGGGAAACAGCATTTCGTATGATATTCATATGTTTGGCACTTTTGTGTTGTTTGTAAAATAACCGAACAAACTCCCAAACCACCCGACCTCACACCAGGGTCGTGTGCAGCTCATTAACCACCCAGACCTTGCGGTTAACCGCAAGTAATTGTCGAAAGGCTGGGTGGTCCTCGTTCGTTTGCCGAACACGTGGCGGCGGCCATTTTAAAATCGCTCAGCGGTAGATGGTCGTCGACTCCCTGGAACTGTTTTCGGACACTTATTTAGCCGCACCCCGCTGAAGCGTACCAAGTTCCAGTCCCTTCGTCCAATAACTCACGAACATTCTACCGTTCGGGATTTTCCTACCATACGAACTAGACAGACCCCAGGTAGTTGAAGTTATGGAACTCTTTTCGGATTCAATTGCACGAACAACCAGTGAACTAAAAACTTTACTCGACAGCATTGAGAACTGTGTTCGTGGGATCTGAGCGCTATTCGTCTATATCAGTGGTAGTCAACCTTTTTCCACTTACCGCCCACTAATGCATCTTTCTTGATGGAAAAATTTCCTTACCGCCCACCAGTTTTCGCGCAAGCGCGGAATATTTTTTAGAAAGGAGGGTGTTTTAAAAAATACATAAATGAACGTACATTTATCTTTTTATTTCTACTTTATGCATGTTTATAATGTTTTTAACTTTATAAAGTTTAATGAGGAAGCAATAAAGTAAATTGAACTTACCTTTACTAGAGGTTGATGCTGCGAGACTAAATATTTGATATCTGGTTCGATTTTCATAAGGAACAAACGAAGGTCTCCTCTTTCAGTGATAATCGGAAGACTTCTTTGTTTGCTCATAAAATGATTTCTCATCTGTGCGTCAGCTCCCCTCCTCTCCCTCCTCAATTCCCCTTCCCACCTTTTTCCCCTTTTTTCTATTTTTTAACCTTCCTTATAGCAATGGCCAATAGGAAGGCTGAGCTAGGTAGCCCACTTACTATTATTAGTCAACAACAATTCTCTCCTTTTCCTTTTCTTTCCTTCTCCTTTTTTACAAGTACTCTACTCCTTCTTTCCTCTATACTAGAAGTACTCTACTCCTTCTCTATACTAGAAGTACTCTACTCCTTCTTTCCCCTATACTAGAAGTACTCTACTCCTTCTTTCCCCTATACTAGAAGTACTCTACTCCTTCTTTCTCCTATTCTACAAGTACTCTGCACCTTCTTTCTTCTATTCTACAAGTACTCTGCACCTTCTTTCTTCTATTCTACAAGTACTCTGCTCACAGACAAACACATACACACACACACACTCACATAGAAACACATACACACAAATATACACATACTCACACATGCACTTACAGACACTCACACATACACAGACAGACCCACAGACACACATACACTTACAGACACAGACACATACACTTACAGACACAGACACATATACTTACAGACACACACACACACACACACACACACATACACACAGACACACACACATACACTTACAGACACACACACATACACTTACAGACACACACACACATACACTTACAGACACACACACACATACACTTAGAGACAAACACATATACACACAAATTATTAATATTAAATATCCACACAGCCTCCCTACCTGGAGAGCTGGTGTGGATCTGTCCCTGGGGTCCAGTGGGGCTTCACTTAGGCGGGCGGCTAATCAGACGCTGCGAGGGAGCTCTAACCTCTCTGCTCTGCTCCCTCGCGGACTGTCTACGGATGCCGGGAGCCGGAATATGACATCATATTCCGGCTCCCGCGGCATCAGCAAACATCGCGCGAGGGAGCAGAGCAGAGAGGTTAGAGCTCCCTCGCCGCGACTGATTAGAACGCTGCCATGCCGGGGGGTCCAGAAGGTGGCCTGGCAGGAGGGAGCGCTTCCTCCTGCCGGTCACTGAAGACTTGCGCATGCAGAGCCGCTCGCGCCCGCCCAAAAGGAGAAATCCTCTTAAAAAGAGGATTTAGCCTCAGAAATCCCTACCGCCCACCTGGAATCCTAAAACGCCCACTAGTGGGCGGTAGGGACCAGGTTGACGACCCATGGTCTATATTGTGCACTCAGATCCAATCTATCTGGGGGTATGTGGAACATATAGACTCCGTTCGGCGAAATATGAGTAATGGATTTTAATACAATTTTGTCAAAATTTAAAAAAGAACATGTTACTCTCTACCTGGAGATAATTAGGTTTTCTCCAACCACTTAAGTTAATTATTTCCAGGATAGAGAGGAGGGGTTGCACTGTTACTGTGGGTGTGTTTAATAATTGTACTGTAAACTGATTGGTTCTGTATTTTTTGTCACAGTTTTCCACAAGGTCCCCTGTGGGACTTTCCTTGCTGGGAGATTATCATAAAAGGCAGAGTGTGGCCAGCATTAAAGCAGATCGTTTTACCCCTTCATGAATCTCGACTCATGTTTGGGGAATTAGGAGCTGTAATCACTAATTTGCTATTATTCTGCTGGGATTTTGGGAGAAGCTGCAAGGATCAGTCCTACAGGGATAACAGGATCCTTTACACAGACATCGGCTGTACAGTCAAGTGGCTCAAATTTAGCCAAATCTCAATTCTGCTGAAACTGAATGAATACA